ATGCTCAATTTAAGAAAATACTAACCATATTTATATGAATGTAGAGTTACTCCTTTGGAAAATCATCTTCAGTCATGAGAACCTTGGCAGGTATTTAGGGATTTTTTTTGTCTTTTACCTTCATTGTGATATATATATATATCAAACTTAGGTTCTGTTTGTTTCCAGGAAAATGAAATGTTTTCCTATTGAAAATAAGCTGTTTTATGTAAAATATAATAAGTGACCCACCGCACAAACACATAAACTGTTTTCGCAAAATGAGTTGTTTTTGGAAGGGGTACTTGTTTTTCATAAAAGTCTAATGAATCAAGGAAAATATTTTCAGTGGCTGAGCACAATAAAATCCAAAAAAAAAAATCGGAGGAAAACACAACTTTTATTGGAAAATAAGTTGTTTTACGTATATATAATATTTAATCCATGCATATAAAAAGCTGAAAACTGCTTCGGGAAAATGACTTTGCATTTCTAAATGGGAAGTCATTTTCTGAAAGTCTGAAGAGTCGAGGAAAATATTTGTTGTTGCCAAACATGAAAATCTTTTCAGGAAAATGTTTTTATGTGCACAACAATGTAATAACCGAATACATTTTCCAGCAAACAAACGTAGCCTTCATCCATACATGAGTTTAAAAAAATATTTTCTCTGGTGATTCGTGAAATTATTGTACCAAGATTTATTTGGTACTAATGGTTGTTCCTAATTTTATCGTTTTTATGCTATTATTATTAATATTAATGGATTGGGCAGTTAATGTGGATGATGCTATGGATGACATTGTACGTCAATTTAAAGGAGTCTCTGATGGTTTAGTGAGAAAAGTTTCTGGCTCCTCTTCCTCTTATGAACCAGTGGCTTCCGGTTTAGCTGGGATTTCTCACTCCTGGAGCGGTGATGAAATTGGTGGGAAACTGGCAATAATGCAAAGTACATCAGAGTCGGCTAACAGTTATTGTTCTGACAATGATGATGGTGATAAAGACGATAGTGAGACTAAGGTTGGAATGGAGTTGAGTCCACTAGTCAATGGCTGGCACTCTGACAATGAACTAATGAATCCAAAAAAGTTTCCAACGAGAGTGGTTAAACATGATGATGAAGAGTTTAATGGATCACTTAGCTCTGGCGGTGGTGGATTTCCTGAAGCATGTTTGGCCATTGTTTCAGATCAACAACCACTTGATCCAAGTAGGGTGCCTCCAGAGGTAAGGGTCATTTCTTTATAAACCTATCCATCTCTCTTAAATATGTTTATTGTATATAATTATATAGCAAGTTTTTACAGTAGATATTTTCCCTCAGTGGGAGGACGTGAGATTATGCTATGGATTATTTCATGATAAATTCTAGTCACTTCATTGGATTCTGTATTTATATTTTACTGTGTGCTCCATACTTTCATTTCCATGCAGTGGACCCCTCCTAATTTAAGTGTGCCCGTCTTGAATTTGGTGGATAATATTTTTCAGCTCAATAGAAGAGGTTGGTTAAGGTGAGAGATCTAGATTCTACTCGGTCATTGTGCTTATATATCTCTATATAGCTTAGGTTTCATGAATACTACGATTGCCACCCTGATATACCAATTAGATATTCAGTATTTCAGTTCATGTTTTGCATGAGTTATCGTTCAAGCTCAGTAGTTGTGTTTTATGAAAATCAGTTCATGTCTACTATGTTAATACATAAAACACCTCCTAGAGGATTTAGGGTTCGTTTGGACATGTAAAATGCTATGAATAGAAAACAGAGGGGGAATGCACAAGAAATTGAATTTGGCAGAAAAAAATATGGTTCATACTCAATTAATTAATTAATTGTAGGTACTTGTTCAAACTCTATTTGTTGGTAAACTTGACTATTTTAAATCAAATTGATTTCAAAGTAAAACGTAAAATATTATTTTCCTTAGCACTTTCCACCTTTCTCTACCAAAATCAGGCTCTAGACACAACCTCAATAATGCAACTTGCCTCTTCTATGAGTAGGAGACAGGTTTTTTGGATATCCAAACAAATATTGCAGTTAATGATGGAGGATGCAATTGATGACTGGCTTTTAAGGCAAATTCATTGGCTTCGTAGAGAGGATGTCATCGCCCATGGAATACATTGGGTCCAAAATGTAATTTTATTATCTCATCAATATATTTATGCTCAGAAAGCTGTTTCATTGATATCTAAAAGATTCAACCATGATTTAACCACACACACACATTTCTGCTGATTTGTTTTTTTTTTTTGTTTCTTGATCCAGGTTTTATGGCCCGGTGGTACTTTCTTCACGAAATTAAATGCTCCAAGTGAAGTGGAAATCGGAAAACCAATGAGACAGGAAGCAACAGGAGGGAATAGGGTGGGCCTCAAAGAAGGATCTTTTGAGGAGCAGCTTGAGGCTGTCCGCAGAGCTAGTGAAGTGAAGAAGATGCTTTTTGGTGAGTTTTTTCTTTCATTCGAGATTCTATATTTTCCTCCATTCTTTATTTTTTTCATTCTTTTTCTATTATATTTATAAAACATTGTTTTTTATGAATAACTTGTTAATGTTCTTGCTATCATTTTCTTCTTTGAATGATGTCATCCTTCATAGACTTTATGTTATCTATTATCATGACTTACATTCTTCCGGTTTACTGCCTGTATGGTAGTCAGCATATTTTTGTAGCTGTCTATGAGCATTCCAACTATTACTTCAACTAAACATTAATATTTTATTATTGTGTTATCTGTAACTGATGATTACAAAACTAAGAATAGTGCAAAAGTGTTTTTCCCCAAAATAACTCAAATGAAAAGAAATTACACTTCTGCCCATATACTTTAGATATTACCACCAAAATAATGTCCATATTTCACCATTAATACTTAAAATTGTTTACTATTACGTAATAGATATAAAGAATATAATATTGAAATTAATGTTTGACAAATATATACTTCCTCCGTCCCATTTTGGTTGTCTTACATTCCTTTTTGGGTTGTCCCAAAATGAATTTCGTGTTTCCTTTTTGGCAAAAAAAATTATGTGGTCCTTATCAAAATTTCACTTTATCAACCTCAACTACAACTTTTACTTTTCAAATAATTGTGCCAAAATAAAACAAGACACCCATTATGGGACAAAAGTAGTACTCCGTATTAAATTAAATTAGTCAAGTGTACTATCATAGTATAAAATAATAGTATGAAGTATGGAAACTCAATGGTCAAAGTTATTGATTTTTTACTTGAATTGCCAAATTAATTGGTCATGTTTGTTGGGGGATAGATGGAGGGCTGTCTTTATTTTACTAAAAGTGCTTTTTAAATACTTTTCTTAGAAATTTCAGCCACAAATCCACAATTCTAGGATACTTATGGCTTTATGCACATCCACTCAAACTTTACCTTCGCCAAGCAGGCTCTTAGATTTATTAGATTAATTCCCTAAGTTATAGTTCGTAGTACTACGTATAACACGACTCAAAGTGGTTAATATTCATTTCAGATGGTGCTCCTAGTACTTTGGTCAGCTTGATTGGTCATAAGCAGTACAGACGATGTGCCCGAGATATATATTATTTCCTACAGGTATGTCCCGAATTCTAGCAGGCTTTGTCTGATAACTTTTTTGGGTCCATTTCTATCAAACAATAATAGTGGTTGTGTATTGTGCAGTCTTCCATTTGTATAAAGCAACTAGCATATGGGATACTCGAGCTTTTACTAGTTACCGTCTTTCCTGAGTTGCAAGACACTGTGAGAGATATCCACGAAAAGATGCGCGTCCAACCTTCGTAAGGGACGGGTACCATTGTCTTTTCTACCAAGAAACATCTAACGTTCGAACTTGTCAAGTGTTGCAGTTCTGTCAGTGGGGCTATGAGCGGTTTTTACTTAAAAGTTCATTTCAAGGGCCATAAACTCTAAACAGCAGGAGTGTTTCCGAATGCGTGTGAAGGGTTTCTTGGTTTTCAGGAGGTGACATGTTATGCCTGCTCATTATCATGTACAAATTGTAAAATATATCATTGATGTATAGTCGTATATAGGACTTATTATACGTTCATTTTTTGTGCAACTTACCTTCTTTAATACGGAGTACCATTTGAGAGGTCTACTTTGGTCGCAAGACTTTATAGACTTATAGTTGTAAGTGAGAGGTCTGTATGGAGAATTTAGATCTAACTGTACCCTTGAGTCATGGGGATGTTATAGAGGGAGACACCGAGACAGCTAGTGATGTATCCTGCACTTGATATTTGGGCTAGGAGCCTAGGACGGTCCTGACAGACTAAAGATTAAAATTAATTAATTCACATTGATTATAATATAAAAAAGGTATAGAAAATATTAAATTTGTTGAAACCACAACCCTTATGTATTGTTCCAATTCATTGTTCATGCAATCTTTCAATTTTAATTAACATTTTACACAAACTTGAATAACGGGTACTTGAGAATATCATAAAAAGGAGTAACTATATTGAATGAGAATATGGTGGATAAGAGCTGGTTACTACAATTTTCAACTGTGGGTACTTGAATATAAATATTGAAGCGTAATTGGAGTATTGGACCCTTTTGGGTAAAGTGGATGTTGGAATAATGGGATCAAGATCCTCTGCCAGATTGACACACGAGAGAGTGCCTTGGCGCCTTGCGGCATTAGATGTCAGGAGAGCAATGAGGATGGCCTAGAGATCAGTGAAAGAGTGGATTCCAACATCTCTCACTCTTGAATTTTCGATTAGACGGTTGTGAAGAAGCAAGACCCGTCTAAAGTAATGCAGAGGTTCCGGATCCGTTGGAATGCCCCCTCCTAGTTCCGCCCATGGATTACGAAATTAAAGAGAACTAATAAAACAAAGGGAATTAATCAACGAGTCAAGTACAATTGATGAAGCTTAAATTTGTCATATCAATTTTTGTTTTAACTTGTTTTCATATAAACAGTATAGACTATAGAGACGAGGGAAAACAATCCAGAAATAAAATGCTAATTTCAATTCTTGCTTGGCCATTTTAAATTCTAAAGTCAGGCATGCTAATCAAGATGTTGTGATTGAGCTGGAAATAGCAAATCCCAGCACGACTACAAGTATCGAAGTCGAGATTTTTCATGTTAGAATTCCTCACGTTAGAAGCTTGAGTCAAAAAAAGTATCCAATTGTACAAATGTATAACATTAATCACTTTTAGCCTTCATTAATACTATCAGACTTGATGATGGCTAATGTACAAAATAATGCTCAAAAGAGGTTTCTGAATGGATCTGTGATAGAATTGCGCAGGCCTGAGTAAAGCGCATATAGTGAGTATTGTCTTAAATTCTTGACCTCGTACCAACTGTTGAACACATCACCGTTCTTATCTGTACCAGAGAATGCCAATTGTATGCTCAAACTACAATCTATGGTTCCTCCATTTCCATCACACTTGCTGATTGAGATCGCACAATCAGTATTGTTAAGGCACACAAATGGATCCCCATTGCATGAACCACACCCAAATTTCTTCCAGAATAGATTTTGTAGAGTTCCTTTTTGAAATTCCAAAACCTGCAAGAAAAAAACCAATCTTAAGTTGATCTTGAACTTGAGTGCATTAAATATGTTGCTTGATAGTTAGAACTACATGACATGAATATATTTGGGGTAACCCTCACACCTAGTAGAAATACTTAAAGAAATTGTCATAAGTATGTTTTTTTTTTGTCTAAATAGGAACAACTATTGTTATACTTTGACATTATCAAACTTTAAAACTTGACAATAATTGCTCATATTTAGGAAATAAAAACAGTGGTCATATTTTGCTCCTATTTTATACCAAAATGGTATAAATTGAGAGGGTAATAACACACCTAAACGAGTCAGACGGTTAGTGCAAAAAGGGAATGATAGACTCGAAAAGTAGTTGTTCTTTTCTGATTTGGAGAACGGCTTTCTTCAGTTATAAGAACAGTCATTCTCTTCGAATTCTCCTATTTTGGGAATTGGGAGACGTACAAATTTGAAATAAAAGAAAACTCTAGGCTCTCTAAACACACAACCTCCAATTGATCATTGTTCGTGTGAATATGGGTTGTCTGGCATTATCATTCGATACATTCTTTAATGAGTTTTATTCAAGCTGCATTATCATTTACAATATGTGATTCGTAGTTGATTTAGATAAAAACAAGTTAATTTTGAGTTTTTCACTCAGCTATTTCAACATAAATTCTTACAATAGAGATGATATTTCACTTCATGCGGAAAAAGGTTGTAGAGTTCCTATGTCGGAGTGATTAGTACGTGGTATGTAATTTTTATAACAATTCCTTCTTATACACAAAATTTGTACACATTTCTCACATATTTGCACGTAATTGTTGATGCACACATACGATGTTGCATGAGCTGTCTACGTACACATGCAATTAGGAATTGTACACATTGTCTGTGTATACATGCGGTGAGATATAATGAGTGCGAAATGTGTACAAATTTTGTGTACAAGAGGAATTGTTATAAAAGTTACATACTACGTACTAATCACTCTGCCATACACCCTAGGGACTCCACAGCCTCTTGTTGTCGTGCTAATTAATTCTGAACACCATAGCAATAACGTACAGGCTAGGCTTGAGTAACAGTACCAAAATTTTGTACAAAAATGTAAAGATACTTCGAATGTAGTTCTTGTATGGAAAGGGTGAAAACTTAAAACCTTAAGACTACCCTATAATAATAATACTCTGTATGAATGATACACCTTACTCTTTTCGTACCATTGCCTATCTTTTTCTCATTTTTCTCTTCTCATCATAATCGCTAAGTTTGTTTCATATCATAATTGTTATATTTGTATGATCAAATTCATTTATACTTTGTTCATAGTTTATCAATTTAATTCGAATGAACCACGTAACTTCACTTTCTTAATGATTGCACAAATCCCTACTCCCTATCCGATACAAATCTCTGTGGGACGAAGCTAGTAAAACACAATAACAATGAAAGGAAATGAATATGTTGCAAGTAAATACTGTAATAAAATTACATAGGTAATAAAATGATTAAGAAATACTTCGTATATGTGTTTCATTTGCTTGGCATTTTCTTCAACATAAGAAAAACATTTCATTCTTCATGATATATGATTAGTTTCTTGTATTGTTTTCACTGACATCTTGCTCGATCCATACAAAGAAAACAGAAGTAGAAATCTTGCATGATAAATTTATAACGTACCAAGGTATGGCTAGTGATGACGTAATTGTTGTCCGCCACAAGGACCGGCAAGGACCTAGCCGCATATTCCCGCCCTGCAAACGCCACCATATAACCACCGCCCTTGGTGGCGTTGATTGACAGCAGCGAAATCTCGTCCACCTTCGGCCGGAAAACGGCCAGCCGGGAGGATGCGCCGGAAAGGGCTAGCCGGCGATCACAGGGCGAGAGCTGTGTTTGGTTGAAAAAGAAGTTTTCCTTGGAAGAGAACGCCAATCCAAATGTGAACCCGTCCTGTTTCTGAACCTTTGCATCCAAACAGGGATTGAAAACAGGGTTCGTATCTTCAGATTTTGCAGAGTCCATCATTATAACCATGATCAAGATCATCATCACGGCCATAAGTGCCGTCCCCATTTTTGAAATGAAGGAAAAAGGATTGATCAGGAGAATTGAATGAAACGATAAGATTAAACTCTGTCAAAAAGGGGAAAGTGAGTGAAAGAATTGCTTTATATGGGAGATTTGTGTAGAAAGAATGATTCTTTCCGTGTTGTGGAATTTGGGGATCGTGAGGGAGAAGGCGTTGACAAGCAAAACGACGGGGTTGCGGATCTTGTTGTGTTCTGACCCAGAAACTGACAGTCGTTCGAAGATGTTTCATGCGAAAACTGAAAAGTGAGCAAACATACAGCTTCTCACACTTGAGAAATGATGTGACCAAAAAGGAATGGAGGTGCGGGGAATCGAACCCCGTGCCTCTCGCATGCGAAGCGAGCGCTCTACCATATGAGCTACACCCCCATTTGCTTTGATTATTTTTGTTAGCTTATTTATCGTTCTAATAAATTATAACCGGAATCACGGAATGTTCTATACGAAGTAAAAATATTAGGAATTATTATGCTATCGAAGGACACGTTGACGCGAAAATAAATAAATCGAGTCAAAGAATCCTTAAAGTCGAGTGGTATCGTAAACGTTTTTATCAAATAAAAGATACATTTGGCAATCCCCTAAAGAAGAATATTTAAGACATATAATCGACTTAATATAAGCTACTAGTGCTATCCAAAAACTTATCACTAAAATACGGCACAATTATTTATTTAGACAATAAATAAACGAGATTGTTCAAGTATATTTTGAGAAATAAGTTTGATATGTATATCATAATTAGATTATTGATAAACAGGGCCGGTTCTGGGGGAGGGCAACAAGGGCGACCGCCCTAGGCCCGAAAAAATATAGAAGAAGAAATCGGCCCAAAATCTTTTTTTTGTAAATTGTGTGAGTAGACTTCTTCTTTTATATATGTCTTTTATCATTTAAGAGTATTTGTTAACCATTTTTTAAAATAGAAATGTGATCCTTTAATTTAGTCTTCCTAAATAATTACACATAAACTAAAATGAATATAATAGACAAAACATTAAAAAATGTGATCTCTTATGCAAAGTGGATATATTAGTACTTCATCCGTCCTATACAACTTAGACAGTAAAGTTTGAACAATTATTTTAGTTAGGAGAAGTAACTTTATTCGGAGTACAATACAAATCATCTTCCCTAACCCAATAACGACACATATTTTGAAAATGATTCCTAATAATACCAATATTTGAATATATAACAACAATAATATTGAGTCATTTTTGAACAAAAAAAATTAGTCATTTAAAACATAAAAATTGATACCAAACCATAAAACAAATAATATTTGTAAATATGGTAACTTATTTGATATTTTTTCATAATAGTTTTTGATGAGTTAAATTTTTTATTTTTAGGGAAAATTGCTCTATATAACTTTTGTTATATATTCAAATAGTTGATATTATTAAAAATTATTTCCAAGGTACGTATTATTCCATTTGTATTATTCAAAGCTATTTTCCATTTTAGTTACTTATTTGTGTGAAATTTATAGCTTCTATATTTTTATACTTGTATGAAAGTATTTTTGACAAGGAATATATTTTTTAAATAATTTCATATTATTAAATATACTTGGTCTAAATTGCCCATTATTGACAAAAAAAGTCAACATAACCAGGTTTTGTGGAACGGATGGATAGAGTAACTTTTAGTGATTATGTTTATGTTTATGTTCTATTTTAGACTATTGTATATTGTCATGAAGTTATGGACATATAAACTTTAATCACATATTTTCCCTAAGTTTTGTTTGAGTGATATTCTTGGAAAACCTTTTTTTTCTTTATAACTTTGTCGTTAATTATTTGAATTATAATCTATTCATGATTAGCAAAATAGAATTAGACATCTAAGTAACAAAATCACCAATCTCATTATACTCATTCCACTTTAACCTCATCAAAGAGGTTTATTGGTCACCAGCCAATTATAACTATAGTTTTTTTTTTATATCCTTTTTTATGTCTTTTTATAACTATTGTAAGTTATGGGTCCATGTTATTATTTGATCACTTATATATATTCAAATTATCTTAACATTCTAATAGGTACTTGGTTTAGAACTTGACTAAAATGAACCAAGGAAATGCGAATATGCTACACGGTATTCCTCTGATTCTAATGGCTATACAGCACACAGATTCCCCACACCAATAAATGAAAAATTCCACTCAAATCATCACATACTCCGTATATATATGCAGAAAAGAGCTTCTTCCCAGATACTTCCCCTGAACTTCTTTATCCATATGCGAGTTTGATATATCTTTATCTTTATCTTCAACAAAATAGAAGTAAGTAGTTGAAAAGCAGAAATGGCCGCAGCAGTGGTTGATGCCTGTATGGTTCAATTTGCAAAGCTGAAGGAAAAGATCCAACCCCTCGCCAACCTGATCCTCCTCACACCCGCCGGAAGCACAGATTCCGTGGTGGTCAAAGTGGAGGAAAGCAGCCAAACAGCCACCAAGAAAGACGGCGGCTCTTCTTCAGATGGCCTGAAATCATCCCGGAATCATATCTCCGAAGAGTCAATCATTTTCTTGCTCATGGACCGCTTTGCCCCATCCTAAAACTAACTAAGAATATATAACTGTACATAATATGCATTATATGTGGTGTATAATAATGTGTGTATATTCACACCCCTATCATAGGTATCTATGTTCCCATCTCATGTTTGTTAAAGACTCAGCTTTTTTTGGGAGTAGAACTGTATATTTGTTTGACTTAAAAAGCCCTTTGATAACATATGTTTTCCGCTTACTAGTCCATTAGTATAATGCTCGTTGAAATATAATTCAATTAGTCATCTTTCAACTATTCATCATCATTATCAATCTAAATAAGAAATCATAATTGTGATTTCTAAATGATAATTGTATGACTCACAATTAGCACCTGACCTAAATAGGACTACAATTTCCCCTATAAATAGAAGTATTATCTTTCATTGTAATACACCATTATCACACTTCTATTATACTTCTAATAACATCTTTATCACTAAGTGTTTATAACATCTTCTACTTATACGGAGTATCATTCCATTTCGTAACAACTTCGTATTCGTTATACTAGACACGTAACTTTTTTATTGGGCACGTTGCACATAATCTTTGTTTCTAGACTTTCTACGTGTTGAATAGTAGAAATAAAATAAGTAGGGATGGAAGTTAGTTTTTCCATTCAATTGACTGAAATTATTATCTCATACACAACAATAAAAAGACATCTAAATATAGTTTTTTTCCCGTAATTTAGCAGATTCCACCGATGCAATTGTTTAAACCAAACTTTCCCCAATTTATGTATTACCAAATTAATTGATTTCTAGATTTATATTGTTTGATACAATTTTTTCTTCGGAATGTTTGCCATGCACATATTGTACGACTCTTATATAACTTAGTTCATCCAATAGATGCTGGAGATACATGCATAAATGTAACTAAAAATATGTACACTTAACTTTATTGGATAGGTTGTCGTATATTCTCACTGCATTATTTTTAGAAACTCTCCCAACGTGGAGAAATATGAGTAATGGGTTATGTGTATAAATATGACTAACTCTCCCAAATTAGAGAAATATGAGTACCATAGCAATAATAATTTGATCTTGCGATACTTGCTTAGGATTCAAACATTCATATTTAGTCCATACAAGATGCTTTTTAACAAAAATAATGATGAGCTAGAAAACTTAGAACAAATAGACGAAAAATATCATCATATACAATTGATTCAATGGGCAAAACGTACATTTACAAGATGGAACACAACTTTTAATTTACTAGTTACAGTACCCCAGACTACAAATCAGAGCTGAGCTTTTTAGTGTGTATATATATATATGTACACCACCAGCAGGCGCATTATTACCATTTCTATTACTGGACATATTTTCTTCATGTATATATAGAGGGGAGAAATTAAAGTTACACACTTGTGGTAACCTCTGTGATCTCTAAAGCACATTCATTCAACACAGTATCTTTCTCTTTTTCCCATCTAAGAATCTCAGTGGCATATTTTAGCGCTATATCGACCGATTTGCCATTGATCCCCGTAAGCTGCGATACGTACAACTTCCGTCCTGTTAGATTCTTATATGTCGCTTTAAATTGGGAAGCGATATAATAGAATGCACGTTGTGCCAAAGATGGGTTGTTGCTGTTTTTGTGGGAATGCTGGCTGATTACAGGGTTGAAGTCCCGGAACCACTCACATTTATTCAGAGGGAACTGTTTTATCGATTCCTCTAGAATATCAAACTTGGTGAGGAATAGAAGAAATTGCTTTTGGGTGAAAGGCGGGTGAGTGACGATGCTCTCAAAGAGCTTCTTGCTTTCTAGCATCTTGTTTTTGAGAGATCCATTATCGTCTTCTATATACTCAAAGTAGTCTGTCAGGGAAATGGTGTATAGGACAATGTTAGTGCCTTCAAACATCTCCAAGAACTTGCAGTTTTCCCCCAGGATTCTAGTGGGTGCCCGAATGAGTTCGCACCTGCACATCGATTAAGACTCCTAACTTTTAATTTGACATCAAAGCTAAAGGACAATAAGCTACTAGTGCTGAGTTTCACAAGCTGTTACATAGTAGACATGCATTAGTTTGATGGATAGAAACACAGATTACCTTATCAAGGAGTCGTCTTGATCTGTAGTTTCCATGTAGAAATCTTTAGATAGCTCGGGAAGGGAAACCTCCACGGAAGCCACCCCATTTGCGGAAGCACAACCCTCGGCATACAAAATGTCCATACTAGAAGGCTTGTACTCAGCCCTAGAGATCTCGACCGCCTTCACAAGCGACATTAACTTATTAGGATTTGTATGATAATAATCACAGAACTAAAGAATAATTACTTATTCACGTTTGTCTTGCAACGGTAACTCACCCGATCTAAGAAATAGTTAGCAGCTCTAGGTAACATATGCAATTCATTTCTACGTTGATATGTGGCTAGAAATGCTTTATCCTTCCACAACTCCTCTACCAAAGGTGCATATGCACGAGTAGCAGCAGGAAAAACGGTTTCCAAATTTCCTGACATCCTAACTTCTAGTAGCCAATCAGCAAATGCTTTAAGTCGTGGACTGATTGAGTAAATATTCTCTTCAACGTCATCTGGGCCACCCAATGAAAATGAGCATCAGATTCTTCGATATGGAATAAAGACAAAACTAGTAAAACTTGTGGTTTCATCCTAAAGTTCAATACCTGAAGGACTGAGTCCCTCTATGCATTTTCGTCTTGATTCAATTTGATAGGCTTCTTCAAATTGGTCACGGCCCTCAAATAATATACTAATATACTTGTACAAATTGCTCTGGATTGTGCATTTCACACATTCACGCTCGTCTTCCTTGAAAGGAACATTATAGTGAATTTTGGCCTGAAAAACAGAAGATTAAGACCATCATGTACACTCACAATCACTTGTACCTCCAAATAAGGCGTTCGTTCTTAAAATAGTCATATAAGTTTAATTTTATTTCTATACGAGTTTTTCATATAATCTTATTCAAACAAAAATTTTATGGACAAAACTCTGACTATATAGTCACTAAATAAACACAAACAATACCAAGGACTATTCACCGTTAAATCACCAGCCACTATAGCCACGACCGAGTATTAAAAATCATATTTTGTGTTCATTATAGTGATGGGTTAGACTAGCTAAACGATTGAATACAATTAGTTAGTACGGTTCAGCTCATGTGCATTATGAGTTTATGACTTGAATGAGTCATGCGAACCCAATTTTAAATTTGCATCAGGGTGATACATCAACCCTCAGGTTCATAGATAATCAAATCAAGTAACAACTTTTACAGTTATGTTTTAGGGAATACTGCAAACAATATTAAGCTAGAAATTGAACACATTGTGGATCAACTTTTTATTATATCAATATTAACACCTATATACCTGTTTAAAAATAGTACTTGTCCCTGATCCATCACAACCGACAAGTAGCAGCTTACTAATAGCTCTCTGAGCTTGGCTGCTATGGCTAACCATATCTGTCTCGCAGTCGCTTTTTCGTCTGCTAGAATTTGAAGGCTTAGGTGGAGTTGGCAATGATGAAAAGGCACATGCTATGTTGATACCAGTCTGCAAAGTATTATTTCTCTTGAGATTTGAATTGCTAGTATTATAATCATCAAGTGAATGTATTCTTTCTCTTAAAAATCACTTGAGATTTGAGAATGATAGATAGTTTACCCTTTCCCAAAGATTCCCCATCACATTCTTCATACCCTCTTGCTGATAAGTGCCATCAGCCTGCAGCCAGAAGTGAGTGCTCCCTTCACAATGGATTCCAATCATCTGCAAAACAAAAGAAATCATATATTTAGATTCTTCATTTTGTGTATAATAGAAAAAATAAAATGAATTGAACAACTGTCTTGGTTAAATGTAGTATTTTTTGGCATATCCTTTATTTTCACTCAAATTTTCTTTCCTTCTCATGTTCCTCTATTTCTTCCGAACTATTTTCCATAGTATTTTCCGGGCTGCGAAACAGACCTCAAGTATTTAGGAGGAAACACAAACCTTCAACATCCGTAGCTCTGCTCCTGTAATCTCTCTACCATTTATGAGTACATTAGTGTTCCCATTGCTAGCATTTATCTTGAGTTTTTCACCAACCACTAGCTCGTCACTAATAATTTGACAAGGTTTCTCACCCTCCTGTTCGAACAATGTACAAATCAAAAGGTCATTTGAAAATAAATAAATAAAAACTATTACAACCTAGACAGCACAAACTTATTAAGATTTTGAGTTCCAGCCGAAAATGTAATTTCATATGGCAAATATTCTAATGCTTTTATCAAATGGTTATTGAAAACTAAAAAATAACTATAGGAAGCAAGATAACACTAACATATTAAGATTTGGAACCCAAACTGTCAAGGGAAACCTCAAAAGTGTAGCATGCTAATGCCTTTTGTTAAATGTCTCATTTTCATTTCATTTACCCCAGTGCCGCAAAGGCTCCCACCTACAGTGGGGTAAGGGGGGGGTCGGATGTACGCAGTCTTAACTCTGTACTGAAGCACAGAGAGACTGTTTCCGGATGACCCATAGTGAAAATCGCGTCCAAAATTGCTTGGGCTGACTGCTACTTCATAACAAAGAAGCGCAGACAGTTTAGTGAGCCATTTTGCTTTATTCCATCATATTCTCAAGCCAAAAAATAATGAATCTTTGGCTCCATTGCAAATGATGGAAAAAACAGCTATAAGAGCCAATACAGCACAAACATAATAGGAGCCGAATGCCACCATATATGTAAGTGTGCATCTTTTCATATTTGTGTGAAGCTGGATTGCTTAAAAAGGAGGGAAATACATTCATACGCACCATTCCCCAAAATCCAGAAACTTTGTCATACCAATACCTCCCGGGCTTCAACCTTTTAGGCGGATGTGGACAACTCTGCAACATAACCAACTCTTGCGTGGAAAGATGTTTACCATTCACAGTGACAAGATTAGAAGGGAGTTGATTAGCTTTGCATGACTTCTCCTGTGTCATGATCCTTTTAATCTCCTCATCTGTGAGTACACTCTTAAGAATTGCAGAAGACTTCCCCAACAAATCACGCTTTGCTTCATTAATCCTAAAACCAATACAAGTGATACATTTTCTGCCCTCTGGCATTGAACCCATTGCTCTCAAAACACATCTATCACAATACTTTGCATTACAAACCAAACAAACTTCCTTCTTTATGAACATGTTCCTTTTGTGACACCGAAAACACTTCTTTGAGTCACTTATCACTACAGACTTTTCCGGGAAACTTATAACTGCTTCATCATCACCATCGTCATCATCACTTTCTGAAGTAGTCGCATAATTCGCATTGCTACTTGATCGAGTTTCTGTAAAAAACTCAATAGGTGTACTCTCTTCCACCTCTTCGCAACTTATAACATCCGAGTTCGCTAAAATCTCACCGGAGTCATCATTATCATCAGAAAAGCCCAATGTTCCGGAACTTTCAAGACAACCTGACCCTTTATTAGAGGCACAGTCATCACCATAGACAGAATTCAAAGAAACCTTAGCTGCAGACTGTGAGAAGGCCTCTGGTATCCCTTCTTTGTCTGAATAATAATTTTTGTTAACTATTGGTTGAATAACTGGAAGTGACAAAATTTGACTGTTTGATAAAGAAGCAGTAACCACGGTTGCTGCGGGGATGCGGTCAAACAAAACAGGAACCACCTGCGGTATGTTGTAGCTGACTGGAGGACCACTGTACTCCACTGCGATGGAGTACTCAAGATCAAATCCGTCCTCATCATTTTTATTCCAGGATTGAATTGGGAATATACTCTCTAAAATACTTGTCATCTTTACACTCAATCAAAAATCTTGAAATCAGAACCTGCTTACAAATTACAAGTCCCCTCAAACTAAACTTATAACCCAAAATATTTACTTTAAAATAACTAACCCCAAAACTCTCCTATTCCACTCAGCTAAACTAACATTTTCCCCACCCTGCAGCTACTTTAGAGCCCTCTAAACTGCTTTTTGTAAATGAAAAAAAAATTGACATCGATATGAAACTACAAACCTGTTACTCAGCTAAGAACTGACAAAAAATGAATCTTTGAGTGGTACACTTGTGTATATCCTCACTAACATCTAAAACCTTAAATCTAAAGTTCGGGTGTTTATATCTTTCAATGTGAATGGCTCAAACGTGCTGTGGAAATTGAAAATAGAGAGTAGGAGATGCTAATTTGAATGGTGGTCTGTGCTAGTTTGACCAGTTAAAATGAAGACTTCAAGGATTCCAGAGAAGACTAGACAATTTCTTCCTCAATGACCCTGAAAATTTCCTTTTTTCTTCTTCTTGAAATTTCAAAGAAAAAACGACTAGGGGGTCTTGATCAACGCGTTTGCTAAACTTTGGAAAATTTTGGAAAAAACGTGCTAGAAATCTGAATAGAGAAATTAGAAGTCTCATTTTATAAATAGAAATCATTCTTAATTTCTTATTTTATATATCAAAATTTAATAAAATTTGAATTATATTTTGGCAGGTTTTGTCGCGATTTAATGTAGTTTCTAAATAGGTATTTTTTTCTCTAAAAATAATTTGAATGCAGACAATTTAGGGGTGAACAAAAAAACCGAAAAACCGAAACCGACCAAAACTGAAACCGACTCAAACCAAAACCGACTCAAACCGAACAAAAATTGGCGGTTCGGTTTACGGTTTCACCTTTGGGGTTAAAAAACCGACCGAACCGAAACCGACCGACAAAAACCGACAAAAACGTGCTAAAACTAACCGAAACCGACACGAACCGACCGATATTATCCGAACCGAAACCGAACCGAAACCGACTCAAGTAGTGCGGTTCTGTTTACGGTTTCAGCTCTTCCTATTCGATTTTTTCTTCTTCTTTTGTTGTCCCTGGACGCTGGTCAAAGAAGATAGCCCCTCCCTGGTCTTGATCTCTGTTGTCGCGACTCGCAACTACTTGCTAGGATGCAACGGAAACCATCACACCCTCTTTGTTCACTATTTGTTTATAATTGCTGGACTGCATCAGGGATCCCATGATTTCCATCTAGCTACTCTGCATCGGAAACAGTGTCTTCCCCACTTTGTCAATCGCCTAGGTTCCGACCGACGTTGTGATGAATCCCAGTCCCCGCTGTTCTCGATCTCCGTTATCGACTCTCCCTCCTTTCGGGCCACCGGAACAGGGGAAAAGATGGGGTGGTGGTTAAATAGACGTCGCCGCGGCCGTGGCCGCTGGCGGAAGCTTGAAGAGTACTGTTCATCATCTTCTTCGCTGGTTCCTGCAGCTGCAATGCAAATTCAAACCCCCACACCACATCACTCATCCCCCGCCGTTCAATCCTTTGATCCTTCAAACAGTTACAAGCTATTTCTACAAACTTGCTCAACCACTCTGGAGCAATATCTCCTTCCTCCTCAATCTTCATTACCCAAGAACAGCCTAGTGTCCACCATTTCCTCCACCATTTTGATGTAATTTGGGTGAATTAAAAACCGAAGGGGTAATAAATATTGGGTAACCGTCTTTGAGGGGTAATAAGTTGTGGGTTGATAAGATACTTCGTATTTTATAGAGGGTAGTTAAGACATTTTGATGTAAAAGGAGTTTCCAAAAAAGGAAACGTAAAGGAGTAATTGGGACATCCCAAAAAGAAAAGTGTAAAGATTTAAATGGGATGGAGGGAGTACTCGGGATGTTTTTACTTGGATTGTAATTTGCTGGTCTGGTCTGGTCTAGGACAAATTATAGTCCAAGTAAAAACATTCTTGAAGTCTACTTTATATCCACTTATTTTCTTGCGTATGTATGTACTTTGTTATTGACTTTTACTTATTTATCATGTTTTTAAGATATCATTATCATTATTCTTATAAATGTTATGCAATTCACGTTTTTGTACACCAAAATAAGTTTTCGTAATTTACGCACATATATATTTGAAGGAAAATTTTATGGTGCATTAATATTAAGGAATGTTTTGGTGCATTCCACACATGGCACTATCTCATTCGTAACTTAATCCAACTCATGTTCTTATTAAAAAATCAGTTTATTGCAAGTAGGTACTTCCCTAATCCCATCTAATTTGCTGAGGCGAAAGAAATAACACAGGATGAGAGACAAGAGTTCCTTGTACAAGCCACATCTGTGAAGTCGCCAAACCAGGCCACATAAACGAAAGGTCGACATCTGCACACACAAGGTCACACATATTTGCCGAATCAATAAGTCTTCTTGTACCCACTATAATACACACTCTATACACACTATATATATATATATATATATATATATTGAACCCAGTAGGTAAACCACCAAAATCAGTGGGGCAAACGCCGGGGAACGTTTGCCGAGTTTTATTAAAATTCCAAAAGGTACAAATGAAGAGGGGGACCATACCAATACCTCTTCAGAAAGGGCATCCCCTTTCAGAAATACAGAAAGAATTAAACGAGAGAAGAAAGTAAAACAGAAATTTTGGGCATCCCCAAAAATACAAATTAAAATAAATATCTAAAACAAGGAAGTCCAAAAATATCCATAAAGTATGCCCGTTGTGCATCATCCATAAGCTCACTAGCCAAATACATCTCTTTTAATTGGGCCGACCCATTTGAAGCCAAAAATGGGCCACCCAATTGCCTTCACGTACTGTATGACCCAAAGAGACCCGTGTGCTGTCCGATAGAAGCATACTTTCCTGAATTTCAATCTTCCATTTTCGCACCTCCATACTCTTCAGGCAAGAAATTGCGTTCCAGGAGTCGGTCTCCACTTTGAAATCCCTAAACCCTGCAGTAATCGCCCACCTGGTAGCAAACAGGATTGCCTTAATCTCAGCCTCCAAAGCAGACGCGGCAGACAAGGGAAAGGTAAGAGCGAAACTCATCTCTCCCATCCGATTTCTCATGATAGCACCTCCAAACACTCGACCAGGAGAGAAAGAAGCATCTGTGTTCAGTTTATAACCCCTCTTAGGCTTAATCCACTTGATTAATTGGAGTCTTATTCCCGTAAGCCTAAAATTCTTAGGCAGTAGGCTTTCTTCCATTAAGACCTCACCAATAGAATGAAGCTTCAGATTAGTCAATGATTGACCCCAGTTCTGGGTGTATTCCTTGATAATCTGAATCATCTGTGTTGAGGTTGGTGGTTTATCCCCATCTCCCCAAATAATATTTGTATAAGCTTTCCAAATGTTCCAACAGATTATACCTGGCATATTATGTTTAAAAATGTCTTCGAGTTTCTTGCTACCAGCTTTCATCCACCAAGCTATTAAGATGCTTCTGATTGAAACTGTGACCTTAGGAGCTGGAATTTTGAATATCCCCATGAAGTATTCCCATATAGGTTTGGAAAAAGCACATTTATAAAACAAATGATATGTGGAGTCCTCACTCCTCCTACACATAGGGCACATAGAGGGCTTAACTACTATTTGAAATCTCAGAATGTTGTTTGTAATAGGCAGAATTCCACTTAGCAGCTTCCATAGGAATAATTTCACCTTCAGTTGTTGTTTTGGGTGCCAACAATGCTTATAGGTGAATAATTTCCCAGAATTTCTCCTTACAAAATTGTAGGCAGAATGAAAGCTAATCCTCCTCCAAAATGTTGAATCTGTCAACCTAGGAATACAATTGTCTCTCATATATCTAGCATTAAAGAAGGAGTTCCAAAAAGAAGTCCCAGTTTTCCACTTCCACCATAATTTTAGAGTAAATGCTTTTTCTAGATCAGTAAGAGATCTAATGCCCAAACCACCCTCATCAGTAGGAGCGCAGAGAGAATTCCACTTTTTCCAGTGGTACTTCTGCTTATTATTAGAAGAGCCCCAGAAAAACACTGCCATTTTGCTTTCTAATATTTTCTTTACTTTTCTGGGCAGGCTGTCTAAAGCTAAAGTGTGCAAAGGAATGGAGCTCAGCACATGCTTTATCAAAATTAATCTGCCACCTTGGGATAGGTTTTTCTGCCTCCAGGGAGTCAGCTTATTCTCAAATTGTTTAATAATGTGTCCACAATATTTGTAACTGTTAATTCCTTTGTGAAGGCTGACTCCTAGGTACTTCATAGGAAGATCTGCCATCTTCATACCCAACATATTTTTAATACTCCTCTTTCTTCTTTCAGCACCTTTACCACAAATAATAGAACTTTTATCTAAATTAACAGTTTGTCCTGAAGCCTTCTGATAAGCCTCAATAAACTTCTTAAACTTAGATAAAGATCTCACCTCCCCATTCAAAAAAATCAATAAATCTTCAGCATATCCAAGATGTGAAATTGGTAAAGTCCCAGGTCCAGTGTAGTAGGGCTTAATCAGACCTTCATTAAAATACCAATTTAGACCTCTTAAGAAGCCTTCTGCAGCTATAATAAACAGAAGAGGAGATAGAGGATCCCCTTGTTTAACTCCTCTCAAAGGTTTAATATATATATATATATATATATATATATATATATATATATATATATTCACAATTTTTTTACCACTTCCATCTCTTTTACCTCTTCTCCCACTTCTCTCTCCCCTCCCTCCCCCCCCTGCTCCCCATCTCTTCTTCTACGCACACTTCCCCTCCCCCCTTCCTTCTTCTTAGTTTTCTCTTCATTTTCAAAATCTTTTTCAATTCACTATATTATTAGCTAACGAAAATTATGAGAGTCTCTTCCTTCCCACATAATCCAACCATTTGTCTCAAAACTTTGAATCTTGAGGTAATAATAATTTGTTTTTTTCTTTTTGGATTATACTTTTTCCCCTTTTCAGATTCTTATGTATCTTGTTATGTGGCAAAGATTTTAGTATGATGTTGAATGTATGATTATTTTGTTCCATTGGAATGGGTTGGTGATGTTGATTTTTCAAATTTAAGCCAAACTATTCTATTTGTTTTTTATGCACATGACATGTTTGTTTAAATGTTTATTGAAATTTTAATTTTTAGTTTATGTTTGTTTGTGAATTTCTAAGTTGAACTAGTTTATTTGGATTATTTTGTAATTATAGTTGTTTTTGGATTATTTTTTAGTTAAGAATTTATTTGAGGTAAAATGAAATAATATGGGATAGTAGAATGCTAGAATTCTCATGTGTTTTCATGTGTGTTAATTTATTTTGTTTGTGCGTACTCAAAATATTGTTTGTGTGTTTATTTATTTTGTTTGTGTGAAAATATTTGTTTGTGTATTCGTTTACCTGTACTGATATTACAATGCATTTTATGTTCACTGTAGCTCACCTGGCTCTAGACTTTCTCTTGTTGCAGAAACCATTATTGTTTGCTTCATCTCGACTTGCGGAGTTGGATAAGAGGATGCATTATTGTGCTATTAATTTTTGTAATTAGTTATATTGTGAAATTAATATTCTTGTATTTAAAATGACAATGTAACTAGAGTTGTTTGTGTTTTCAATGTTTATCTTTTGTATTATGAAAATAACTTTATAGGATCATTTACTAGTCTATCAAAAGATACTCAAATTGAGTCTTGACCTTATCAAGAAGCTATGATGCTTTCAGGGATGGTAAGAAGTTGCCCCAGTAACCCCCTGATAAGTAACCTGCAACTGGTTCATGGTCAACAAAAAGCTTATTTGTTACCCAGATTTGTAAAATCAGAAAAAATTAAGCCTAGATAATAATTTAGGGAAAAACTAGTGTAGAAATCACTTGATATTGAAAACATGAATTCAATTCTCTTTTGTCGAGACTAAATGGTGTAACCAGCATGAAATAAATTCCCAAATAAAATGAAATAAAATAGTGGAACCTAAATAAATGGTTTTACCGGGATATATGCGGTGATTGCAGACTTGGTGTGCAGCTGAGCTCTTGACAATCTCCAATGGTGTATATAGAAGCTGTTAATCCCCTGCTTTCGTGGATGAGAAAGGTAACCTAGACGTGCATTTCTTCACCACCGTAATGCTCAACGTCAGCAATTGTTGAAAGAAGCATGATATTCTCTAAAAATGAACCGGTAGGAAAATTAGGGCAATCTCTTGTTCCGCAGATATGTTGAGGCTGTAGGACATGTTTTTATATATAGGATTTACTTATGCTATTATGTGTAAATAATTGCTATGTTTTGTTTTAGGATTGAAGACATGGATTTTTTAAGAGAAGATTTACTATCTTAAAAGATGTCGATGTGAAGCCAGATTCGAACAACCAGTCCTTGGATGAAAGTCGAACGAGTTGATGGATCAAATAACTCTGCTCATGAATGAAGTAAAGAGGGTCACATGCTCATTGAAGCTGAATTTGAAAGAAGGTAGTTGAAGTGGGACGTGTTTTTAAGTAAAGATGAAGCATAGATTGATAGGTTCTTTGATGTTGTAACTTGTAATGTTCATAAGGAAACTTGAATATTTAAAACCAGTTCATTAATTGATTTGTAATGTAAATGTATTTAATGAGTTCCACACGTTGACTGTAATGTCATTTTTGGATTTGCATTGCATTTGATAATCTCATATTTATGCAGATAGTATGTTTAATAATGTGTTGAAACTAGTGTGCTGAAGCAGGAATAGTGCTAAAACTAATGTGTTGAAAGTAGTGTGTTGTTTCTTGTTTTGTAGTAATGTGGTAAAACCAATGTGTTGTTTCTTGTTTGGTACGAGTCTGCTGAAAGCCTAAAACTAATGTGTTGACAAAAATGGTTTAAGAACATAAACTGTTATGAAACCGCAAAAGTGCAAGCAAAAATGGAAGAAAATACGTAATATTGCAGGGAAACTAACACACTATAAAGGTATTAG